ACACTGTGCCACAGGCTAGTCCCTACCTTGAAGTTTTTTGTTTGTTGATTTCAGAGACAGAGTCTTGCTATGTTACCCAAGTTGCCTTTGAATTTATGGCCCTCCTCTCTAGCTTCCTGAATAGCTAGTATTTCAGATATACTATTCAGATATACTACTGAGCTTGGTTTCTATTAAAAGTCTTAATGAATTAAAAATGCCCTGTTTTAAAACTATTTCATAGGCAGGCAGTATTAGTAGAATGATATCTGGCTCCACAGGGGGTAAAAAAAAACAACAACACACAAATCATATTGTAGGTCAGGAATTTAACTTTTTGGTCTTGGGAGTCATGACTTTAAATTAATTAAGAACTCCAAAGAGCTATTTTTAAAAAGAGTATAGATTATACCTATCGATATGTACAGTATTACAAATTAAAGTACAGAAAGAAAATATTCATTTATTGAAAATATTAGGTTGTGGAAGTAATGGTGCATTTTTCTTTGGAAAAGTGTGTCATGACTTTCCTGACAACCCAACAACAATCTGGACTGATGCTGTAACCTGGTGGTTGGGACAGCTGGATCCCATATGGTTCACCATGTGGTTCGAGTCCAAGCCCCAATGCCTTGGGAAACACTGGGTGCACGTGCATGTGTGTGTCCCAAATCCTGACAGGATGGAAACACGGAGTAAAAGGATTGCAGCATGACCATGCCCTGCTGGGGAGTGCTTTCTTCCCATTCCCTCACTCTGACTCTGGGGAATACATACACCTTTCAGCAAATTATAAACAAAAGGAAAATAATAACTCATGTTAACATAAACATACTTCATGAACATAACTATATTTTATTAAAAAAAAAAAAACTAGTGGTTTAGATTTTTGCAAATCTAGTTTATGCCTGACTTAGTAGCAGGCATAAACCTACTGTACTGTCTATATTGTATTGGTTGAAGTATATTAAGACATTGTGGTTTCACATATTTGTATAGCTGGAAACAGTAGGCAATTTAATAATATTTTCAAATATTTAAGAATATTGTGCTTTATAAGTGTTAGTATCTTAAAGGTTAGTTTAAATCTAGGGTCTGAATCCGTATTAGTGAACTTTTCATATTCATTGGTCTAACTTGTACTCTGAATGGCTTTTATAACACTATCCATTCATCATTTGAAAATATTTCCCTGAATCATATAGACCTTCTATATGTTGACACATTTCACTATACAAGGTTTATTTGTTACTAAAATTTATCTGTAGAAAAGTCTTAAGAAATAGGAAGCTCTCAAGGTCACAGTGGTCAATAAATTTGCTTCCAAACTCTTTTTTTTTTTTAAAGGTTTTTGCCATGGGGTGCACTTACTAGAGAGAGACATACAGAGAGATATACAGAGAGATAAAGGAAGGGAAAGTGAGAAATCACCCTCCAGGGTGGATGGCCATGCCACAATCCCTTCTCCTCCATTCTACTCTTGGGATCTTGGGCATGCACGCTTACGCGCCCGGCGTGAGTTTTAAGCCGCCGGGTCCAGGACATGAACCGCGGTCGACTACATGGTAGTCCAGCTACATAGCTATTACGCTAACTGCTGGTCCCTCCATTCTCCTCTTGTATGGGATGCATGCACATGTACCTGGCATGATTTTCAAGCTGCCAGGTCTGGGACTCAAAATATAGTAGATCAGGTCCAGCAAGTTGTGTAGTAGTTAAGGGCGCTGGACTCCCATGTGGCTGACTGCAGTTGTAGTCCTGGACTTGGCAGCTTGGTTTCTCTCTCTCTCTCTCTCACTCTCTCTCTCCCTCCCTCCCTCTCTCTGTCCCTATCTGGTCAAATTAAAATAAGTAAATAAATAAATAAAGTGAAATAAAATAATTCTTTTTAAAAAATATAGTTGACCAAGTAGGATTCTGGAGCTTTAACCACCTCACCATGTGCTGGTCCCCAAAACTCTTAATTTTTTTTTAAACTTTGAATTTTATCACTGACAACAAATATTGGTTGTTTTTCTTGAGATAGTATGACTTTGTTCATTTTCAAGAAAATGTATCAAATACCCAAATCTGAATTATCATAGTTTGTCAACAGTTTTTGAAGCAAAAATGTTACTCTAAGAAAAAGTAGCTGGTTAAAAATACACATACTCAGTGGTGGAGATGTATTAAATCAATACAATTTCATCAAAAATCTTACATGAAACAGGCAATTTAAAATTTTTATTTTTTTTTTTACTGCAAGTTCATGGCAGTGAAAAATGATGAGTGCTAAGTACAGTGTTGCCACACTGTCTTTGATATGTGCTACGGCCCTAGCTTTATTTTTAAAAATTTGCCATATAGTGCATGTGCTCACTGGAGAGATAGAGAGACAAAGAAGGAAAGTGAGAAAGCACCCTCCATGGGGCATAGACAAGCTGCAATCCCTTCTCCTTCCCTTGCTCTCCCTTTTGGGATTTTGGGCACCCATGCACACACCTGTCTCATTTTTAAACTGCCAGATCCAAGACTCAAACAGTGTGGTCGCCATGTTGGACTCAGCTGCCTTAGACAACAGGCCAAGGGCTGGCACTCCCAGAAGTTTTATTTACCATTGATTTTGTACCATCAGTTTAAATTCCAGCTGTTAAAAATAAACAAACAAATAACAATATTATTGTAAAGAGCTTTGACTTTGCAGACTCTCTGAAATGGTCTGGAGACCTGTAGAGAAGCATGCGTCTGTACTAAAAAACGCTGTGATAGGTACTGGAGTAAACTCAGACTATAATAAGAATTAAGACATGATCCCTGTTTTTTAGTTCATCTTCTAATAGAGGAAAACTATGGAGATGATTACATCATAGCTGTAGTAATTCAAAAAGTGGTAATAGTGTGGAAGTCAGATTAAAGACAAGCCTGAAAGTAGAAAGACCAGGTAGGATGCTATTGCAGCAGCAGCAATGCAGACAAGAAATGATGGTCTTGCCTAAATGGAAAAAACTTTAAAAAGAATTCTTTTAAAGATTTTACCAGGCCGGCAAGTGGCATGGTGGTTAAAGGCGCTGGACTCCCATATGGCCGACCACGGTTCAAGTCTCAGGCCTGGTGGCTTGCTTTCTTACTTCCTCTCTCTCTCTCTGTGTGGCTCTCTGATCAAACTGGAAAATAATAATGAAAATAATAATAAATAAAGTTAAATAACATAATTATTAAAAAAAAAGAATTAGTTTATCTATCATTATTTTCCAATTTGACCAAAGAGAGACAGAGAAAGAGGGAGGGAAAGTGAGAAAGTAACTCAACTGGTCTGGGACTGAACTGAAGTCAGCCACATGGGAGTCCAGTGACTTCAAACACCCCCTACCCGGCCCCCTTTAAAAAAAATTGCTAGAGATGTGCACTTGTTGGAGAGTGACGGAAAAGTAGAGAGAAAGCATGTCCCATGGGGAGTAGTCATGCTGCAATCACTTCTCCATTTTTCAGAATTTTGGGGACACAAACGCACCTGGCATGTTTTTCAAGCCACTGGGTCTGTTACTCTGCCTTGGAGTCAGCCATGTAAGATCCAGTTGCCTTAATCACACAACCATCTGGCCCTGGGGAAAAAAAAGTAGGTCATATAATTATAGGATTTGGTGACTGATCCAGATGTGAGGCACCAAGGAGGGCTACAGGTGTATAGTGGTGTCTTTTCTACATAAGTATTCCAAGAGGCAGGTTGGCAGAGGGGTGGAAAGAGCTAGTGAGTTTAGTTTTGGATTTTCTGACTCTATTAGCAATGTTAGATCTCTAGCTAGAGGTGGCAGGCAACTGGACATTGCTTCTTATCTTCAAAGGTCTTGCAGTTTTGTCTTACTATTTAGTCTCCACAAAACCTACCTGTTAACCTTGGCAGAGTAAATAACTGAGTCAGGAGCTCGTATTAGTGATCTAAAAGGAGGATTAAAATTGGTAGTCATAGATGTTCATTAGAAGCTACAGGTATGAGGGAGACCAGCTGCAAGGCTGAACTCGGCTACAAAATTTCTGATTTTGAAGCCCTCAAAATAAGTAGCTGTGGGTTACGTTGTTGCCTCAAATACCACCATCCTATAACATCTACATTAATTTGGATTTTTTTTTAGAGGTTTTTGCTATATGGCACGTGCACGTGTCAGAAAGACAGAGACAGACAAAGCGAGAGATCACCCCCCGGGGCGAGTGGCCACGCCGCAATCCCTTCTCCTCCATTCTTCTCCCAGGTCTTGGACACAAACTCATACGCGCCCTGCGTGAGTTTAGGTCGCCAGGTACGGGACTCGAACCACGGTCGACTACATGGGAGTCGAACGACATAGCCATTACGCCCACTGCTGGTTCCCTAATTTGGATTTTGGTATAACCCAGCATATCAAACGACCAGCATTCGCTCACCTTATGGCGTTTACTAAAAATACCTGTCAGAGTGACTTGAATTGGGGTGGGACGCAGCTGAACTCGTCGTCCACCCCTTGAGTGTGCAGTCGGCGTCTTCAAGACCTCACCTTCACGACTCCAAGCCGCGAAGGCTAACTCGGGACTGTCGCTCGAAGTTCCTGAGAAGTAGGCACGCTCAGGTGCGGCCAGTGGCACGCCGGACAGGGGGCGGCGCTCACATCTCCAGCCCCGCTGACGCGACATAGGCCGAGATCACCTCAGGCGCGCGCTGTGCAATCACGGAGCCCGCCGCCGTCGGCCGGCCGGCCTCCGCCCTGGAGCAGAGATCCCTCCGCACAGGCGCCGACGCGCTGTCCCGCGACGCGGACTCCAGGCACACGGGCTTGGGTGGCCCGCGAGTCTCAGGATATGATTGTTTCTCTGTCACGTTCTCTTCCGCTTCGCTTGTGCCACCCGCCCAGCCAAATGACTTAGGTCCAGTATCTGGCGTAAGGAGACGACGGCATGGCTGGTGCTACTTAAGGGGCGGGTCAAGGGGCGGAGCCAGCTCTAGGCTCCGCCCCATTCTGTGACGAAAGGCTGGCGCGCGAGTATCGTGGCCTAAGGGTGGGACCCGCGTCAGTAAGAGACCTGGCGGCAAGGGCCACCTCCCGTCACCTGTCGGTCAGTCTCCCTCCTTCCGCCAACTCGGAGCAGCGGCGGTGACGTCGGCCTGTAGCGTTTCTGGTCCGTGAAGCGGCAGCGGCGGCCGGGATGGTGTTGCTAGGCTTATTGCAGGCGGGTGGGTCCGTGTGGGACAGGCGATGGAGAAGGTGACCGGCGGCAATCTCCTGTCTACGTTGCTGATCGCCTCCGCATTCACCCTTAGCCTGGTTTACCTGCTCCGCCTAGCCATCGGCCACCTGGCCCCGCTGCCGGTCGGGGAGGTACGTGCACCCACGGGATACTCGGGGACGCGGCGGCCGTGGCGGCTGAAGGGATGGGGCGCCTGAGATGCGCTCACGCGCCGGGTCTAGGCACCTGCCGCGGCGACTGTGGCGTGCTCGGCATAGCGGTGGTGGCTGGACCGTTGGAGTTTAGGTGGCTGCCTCAGCCTCATTGCTAGCGGTGGCTCTGGCTGCAGCAACCACTGTGCTCTTCCTGACCTCGGTGCCGGGGGTCGTGCGGGCCGTGGTGATTCTGGCGGTGTTTGAGGCCTTTCGGCCCGGTGTCTCGTCCTGGCCGGGGTCGTACTTATCTGTGGCATAGAGATGGCTGTGGCACTGATGGCCCAAGAGGCCGTGACCTGAGTGGCGGCTGTAGCCCTGAGCACTCTGGCTGCTGTCCTAGCGTTGGGGTGTTTGGTGGGGGCCCTGATCGCGATGCCTTAAGGATGGCTGTCATACTGGGTGGCTGCCCTTGTGTGGTTGGGTGTCATGTTGGTCCCCCAGCAGTGTTGCCCCAAATGGCAACTTATGGCAGTGTAGTTAAAAAATCCCAAAATTCCAGAGATGCATGGGGGATATGTTCAGTTTGGTTTAGTGGAAGTGACTGGAGTGTGGCAAGGGCCTTCCTATGATGCTAATTATACATTAATACAATGTAAGCTTGGTTTAAACTTACCAAGTAATATCTGATGAAAACACCCCTAAAGCTTATCATTAAGTAACTTTCTTTTTCTTTTTTCTTTTTCTTTTTCCATGCATTTGTCAGAGAGAGAAAGAGACAGTGAGTGAAAAAAATGAGAAATCACTCTTTTGACCATGCCACTTTCCTCCATCCTATTTCTGGGATTTCCTCCATTCTCCTTCTGGGATTTCTTTTGACCATTCTGCTTTCCTCCATTCTCCTCCTGGGATATCGCAACTTAGTGTTATTTTTAGGCTGCCAGGTCTGACACTTGAGCCTTGGTTGTCCATGTGCGAGTGTACTGCCCCAACCACCACACAACCATCTGCTGGCCCCAGCAAGTAGTTTTTGAAAACTACTCTTTTACTGACTTTAGAATGTATAAACTGAAGTAGCTTTAAAAATAGTTTTTGTTTGAACTGTAATGGGCACAAGATAGGGTAAATTATTTTTCCTACACATAGGTTTTTTGAAAAAGTGATATTTGTCTTTCTAAAGACAAAAAGAGATACCATTAGTGTTTAAAGTTTGTTCTTACTATTAGCTGAGGGGTACTGTAAGGTTGTGATATTCCTTTCTATTTAAAACCACCAAAGATCTGAGGAACATTATCCTTTTCATCATTGTAAGTTTTGCTATAGGACGCGTGTGCTCGCCAGAAAGACAGAGAGAGACAGAGAGACTGAAAGTGAGAAATCACCCCCTTGTTGGGGGGGGGGGATGGCAGCAAGAAATCACCCCCAGGGGGGGATGGCCACGCCGCAATCCCTTCCATTCTCCTCTTGGGATCTTGGGCATGCATGCACACTTGCCCAGCATGAGTTTAAACCACCGGGTCCAGGACTCGAACCATGGTCGACTACATGGGAGTCCAATGACATTGCCATTACCCTAACTGCTGGTTCGTCATCATTGTAAGTTTGATTTCTAGGAAACTTAATGTTATAACCTGCAGGTTTTGTTTTGTGGCATTTAAAGTTCTAGGAGACTTCAAAAACTTCATGGTGGGAGACCAGCAGGTAGTGTAGTGGTTAAGGTGCTGGACTTGTACATGGCCAACTTTGGTTAGAGTCCCGGACCCAGTGGCTTGAAATCATGGGTGCATGTGTGTGTGAGCCCAGGATCCCAAGAGGAGAACGGAGGAGAAGGTATTGCATTGCCATCCCTATTTAGGGGGCGATATCTTGCTTTCTGTCTTTCTCCCTCTGTCACTCTGGTGAGAGCGCACACCCCTATAGCAAAAATCTGTCCTCAAAAAAATCAGTTTATGGAAAAATGGGATTAAGATATGAGGTTATGTTTATGCAAACATTTTTTGAAATCCATGTGTACTTTTGAAGAATTATTTAATTTTACTTATCATTATTATTATTTAAATTTTCTGCAGGGCACATGCACTCTCCAGAGAAAGACAGAGAGCGAGAAAGGGAAAGTGAGAAAGCAAGCTGCCAGGTCTGGGACTTGAATCACAGTTAATGTCAGTGTATTTATTGGGTTGTCAGGAAAATCATGATGCATTTTTTAATAGGAAAACATAGAAAAATATATCATAACTTTATCAAGGACTTAATAATTTATTTGCAGTGAGAGAAGCATGAGATGTATTTTATTTACTGATAAATGTAGCTTAAACATTTCCCTTTTTCTATATCTCAAATTACTGTTTGTCCTTTTCTGTACTTTATTTAAGCAAGATTCTGGGACTGACATTGCGAGTGGTAGAAATAAGTGGTAAATAAGCCATAGTTTGAATTTCCTGGGTATTTTTTTGCTACTTAATTGGTTAGGAAAATTGGGTAAAGTCACCAATAATATTTGACATATTCAGGATATAGCTCTCATTTAAAATTGCAGTGCTTTTGTGTTTATCTAGTCCATTATCTCACATCATGTTTTGAGTTTTCTGTTTGTTTTGTTATAGACACTCTCCTAAGGTATTTGCAATTTGGTTGTTCTTAAGTTACTTTTGATACTTCATTTTTTGATAAATTTTAAAGGTATTAATAGAAAACTTCATTTAATTGTTTTGGTCATGAAACCAAACTACACTTGTTTCTGTAATGAGGGCTGAAAAAGAATTTTTTTTCTCTTGCAGAAATATCCACCGTACATTTATTCCCCAATTCCATTCCTTGGGCATGCCATAGAATTTGGGAAAAGTCCAATTGAATTCCTTGAAAATGCATACGAGAAGGTAAGTCTTCCAGATAGTAGAAACATTAAGAAACAAAACAAGGGACCAGCAGTTAGCGTAATGGCTATGTCGCTGGACTCCCACGTAGTCGACCGCGGTTCGCATCCCGAACCCGGTGGCTTAAAACTCACGCCGGGCGCGTGTGCATGTGTGCCCAAGATCCTGAGAGGAGAATGGAGAAGGGATTGCGGCATGACCATCCCCCCTGGGGATGTTTGAGTCCAGTGCCCTTAACCACCGTGCCACCTGCTGGCACCATGCAGTTTTTTCATAATATATATTTTTCATGAATTTTTAAAGACTCCTCATGTTCTTTGATCTACTGGTTTTCTTTCTTTTGGATATATACTCAGTAAAATTGCTGGATCATATGTTAGTTCTTTTTTCAGTTCTTTTAGGAACCTACATAGTATTTACCTTTTATTTTTTTTAATTGCTTAAGGGCATGTGTGCTAACTAGAGGGAGAGAGAGAGAGAGAGAGAGAGAGGAAAAAATCACCCCTCCCCCCAATGGGGCATGGTCATACCCTATTCATTGTCCTCCATTTCTCCATTCTGTTGAGATGTGGGACACAAACACACATACGCCTGTGTGTTTTTCAAGTTGCCAAGAATGGGATTCAAACCATGGCTGTTCATGTGGAATCTGGCTCTCTTCACTATTAGGCTATGGAACTGGCCTATTTCCATAATGACTGTAGTATATTACATACCCATCAGCAGTATATAACAGTTCCTCTTTCTTTGCATTCTTGCTTGCTTTTTTGTTTTTTGGTCTTTTTGTTAATAGCCATTCTAAGTAGAATGAAATGTGACTTCAATATGATTTTTGCATTTCCCTGATAATTAGTCGTGTTGAGCATTCTTTATATATTTCCGGCCATTTGTATATCTTTTGGGAAATGTCTGTTTAGATCACTTGCCCATTTTAAATCTGAGTATTTGTTTTTAAAAATTGTAATCTTCCCCTTATTTCCAATATGGAAAATAAAATTGAAGCTGTTCTAGTTTAAAAGATGGAGGGTTTGGAGACACCTGTTCTACTATACACCTGTCCTACTATAGTCTCTGAGACAAAACCGAGGAAACCTATAGTTCTAGTAACTGGTTTGTAAACCGTTGTTCTAAATTTTATATTCATTGATCATAGTTATAGTTGATATTAATTGACTTTTGTTTTTCTTAACCATGCATCTCTGGAATTTTCTAATCCTCTGTACACATTTTCTATGACTTCACTGTCACTTGGTTGACACATTTGATACTCTAGCCGCTCAAATCTTTGCCTGTCTTCTCCCAATGAACTTTCTGGTAACAGTTCAGCCACTTATTCCACAGTCCCATTTAGGACTTATTGTCATTACTGTTTTTCCTCCACAGTATTATTTTAGACACTCTCTTCTTGTATCACACTTTCCCCTGGTTTACTTATGCAACTTCTTACTTAACCATTCTTGACCTTATTAGATTTTCCATTCCATTGTCACATTTACTTACTTCCTTCTGACCCTTTACCTTCCTTCTTCACATTCCACCTATTTCCACTATGTCTGTGATCTACCATTTTAGTTACACTATTGCTGATACTATAGATTTCCTTGCCCCTGGTTCTTTTCATTGTGCTCAACTGGAAAACTCCAACCTCAAAGGGAACCACTTAATCATTTTCTTGTTCATTATATCAGATTAATTCTTTCCAGATTTTATGATTTCAAGAAATTTGAGCACTGCTCAACAATCTTTCTATGACCACCTTACTTCCCCATTCCCAACAATCACCAATTTGGGCCTTCACTTTTCTAAACTTCTGAGTCTTACCTCTCTGTCAAAGTAGATGACTTTGTTTCTTACTTAGAGAATGATTGAAAACCATTGAATGGGGGCCCACAGGTGCCATGGTGGTTAAGGTGCTGTATGCCACATGGCTAACTGTTGTTCGAGTCCCAGACCTGGCGGCTTGCTTACTCACTTTTTTGTTCTCTCTGGTGAGTACATGTGAACTATAGCAAATTTGAAGGAAAAATAAATAAATAAATACATAAAATAATTCTTTTTATTTTTAAGAGATTTTTGCCTTTGGGTATGTGGGCTTACTGGAGAGAGACAGACAATAAGAAGGAACGTGAGAAATCACTCCCTGGGGGGATGGCCTGGGGAGTGCAGTCCCTTCTGCAGTCCCTTCTCCATTCTCCTCTCAGGATCTTAGGCACGCACACATACACGCCCGGTGTGATTTTCAAGCAACTGGGTCTGGGACTTGAATTGTGTTAAGCCATGTGAGAGTCCAGCAACATAACTGCTATGCTATCCGCTGGCATCAAATAAATAATTCTTTAAAAAAGAAAGAAAAAGACATTGAAGGGGAACACTCTCGTGTTCTCAATTTCAAAGATACAAACCTACTTTTATGTATATAATAGACTCGGCAACTTGAAACTCATGCCAGGTGTGTTTGTGTGTGTGTGTGTGTGTGTGTGTGCATGTCAAAAATCCCAGGAGGAACATGGAGGAGAAGGGATTGCGGTGTGGCCATCACTACTGGGGGGTGATTTCTTGCTTTCTATCTCTCTGTCTCTCTGGTGTGCACATGCTCACAAAAAAATCAGCAAAAATCTACAGCAGAAATTTTTCAGAACAAACAAATTTAGTATCTGTTCCATCTTTACTACCTGGGCATTACGTTGTTTCAAATGCTCATCATCAGGTCTCTGGAATAGGCTTTCGCTGGGTCTCTCACATCCCTTTTTGTGCCTATCCCTTCATCTATTCCACGCAGCAGAGAGACTTTTCTTTTAAAACAATCATAGATTAATGTGCCTTTCCTATATAGTTTTAAATTCTTCCATGGTTTCTGACTGCTTACAAGGAGAAAAGTTCCTTAAGATGGCATAAGAGATTCTGTCTGATGTAGGCCCTGCCTGACGCTCCTTGTCATCTCATTGCTCTCCTTTCTTTCTCTCACCTTTAGCACCTTTTTGCATGCTTGGCTACCAAGCTGCCTCCTCTCTTTCTTCAGGTCCTAGCTGAGAGATCTTGTCCCTGTTATAGATTCTGTCATTGCGGAGAAGCGTTCTTTATTATAATACTTGCCAAGGGGCCAGCAGGTGGTATGGTGGTTGGGGCAACTATATTTCCACATGGCTGACCATTGTTCAAGTCCTGGCAATTTGCTTTCTCATTTTCCCTCTCTTTTTCTTTCTCTGGTATTAAAATAAAAAATAATAATAATGATAAATAAAATTAAATAATTCTTATAAAAAATACTTGTCACGTTGGTAGTTTTGCATTTGTAAATGTGATTAATTCATTTGTATATTTTCCAAGAGACTAAGTTTCATGAATCAGGGACAGTGTTTTTGTTCAGGTTTATATCCCTAAATCCTACTCTTCTGTGAAAATCATAAAACGAAGTTAAATAAAGCATTTCTTATCTAACACAGTTAACAAAAAGTAAAAAATGATAGCATTCCATGTAGGTGAGATAGTGGTAAAACTGATGACTAAATAAACTTCATATAGCAAGTATTATAGAAAATATATGCTTTGGCTGGGAACTGGCAGGTGACGTGGTGGTTAAGGCACTGGACACTCCCACGTGGCTGACCATGGTTCAAGTCCTGGACCTGGTGGCTTGCTTTCTCACTTTTTTCTCTCTCTCTCTCTCTCTGTGTGTGTGTGTCTCTCTGTGGTCAAATTAAAATAAATGAATGAATAAATAAAATGGAATAAAATAATTCTTAAAAAAAAAGAGAAGATATGTTTTGGCTACTTCTGTAAATTTATATTTAGCTAAAGCAGGGGAGCTTTATTCTCAGAGATCTTTATTGCAGAATTATCTCTAAGTAAAAAAATAAAAATAAAAAGCTGATACATTACCCATATGTTCAGTAATCAAAGAAGAGTTCAGTAAGTTAACACTGAGAAATCTATGTAAAGGATAGAAAATATATATATCGTTTGGAAAGGTTTTTGCTATAGGTTGCATGTGCTTACCAGAAAGACAGAGAGAGACAGAGAGACCGAAAATGAGAAATCACCCCCAGAGGAGGATGACCACACTACAATCCCTTCTAATTCATTCTCCTCTTGGAATCTTTGGCACACATACACGTGCGCCTGGCATGAGTTTAAGTCATCAGGTCCGGGACTTGAACTGTGGTCGACTACATGGGAGTCCAGCAACATAGCCATTACACCAACTGCTGGTCCCGAAGGATAGAAAATATTTTTAATATAAAAAAAAAGCAAAATAAAAGTTACATTTACACTACATTCGCAAGTGGGTGTGCATAATTATAAACTTGGACAAAGACAGGAGGTGAAGTATGGCAAGATAGAATTGCGTTAAGTTTTAAGAGTTTTAGTTTTTCAACAGTGTATTATTTGGATATTTAGATTATTAATGTCTGTATATTTTTTGGTAAGATCACTGTGGTTACTTTTCTCTCTTTAGTATGGACCTGTATTTAGTTTTACCATGGTGGGCAAGAAGTTTACTTACCTTCTGGGGAGTGATGCTGCTGCACTGCTTTTTAATAGTAAAAATGAAGACCTGAATGCAGAAGATGTCTACGGTTCGTTGACGACACCTGTGTTTGGGAAGGGCGTCGCATATGATGTGCCTAATTCGGTAGGTGACACTATTATTTTGAATAAGAACAAATCTGTTACTGTAACTCAGTAGTGTAATATTATACATTTAAAATGTAGATACATTTTATTCCTTGATTCAAAAATCTGAGGAATCATGAGATGTTTAAAAAAAGAAAAGCCATGGGCAACTGATAGGGAATGAGTATTTTGTTTTATAGGTACCTAATATGGGCCAAGCACATTTTTTTTTCTTTTTTTGGAGACGTCTTTTTTTTTTTGCTATAGGGTGCACGTGCTCGCCAAAAAGACAGAGAGAGACAGAAAGCAAGAAATCGCCCCCCTAGGGGGGATGGCCACGCCACAATCCCTTCTCTTCCATTCTCCTCTTGGGATCTTGGGCACGCACGCACACACACCCGGCCGGAGTGTGTTTTAAGCCACCGGGTCCGGGACGTGAACCACGGTCGACTACGTGGGAGTCTAGCGACATAGCCATTATGCTAACTGCTGGTCCCTACATTTTATTATTATTATTATTTTTAGAGGTTTTTGCCATAGGGTGCATGTGCTTGCTAGGAAGAGAGAGAGAGAGGGAGACAAAATCAGTAAGAAGGAAAGTGAGAAATCACCCCCCAAGGGGGCTGGCCATGCCACAATCCCTTTTTTTTGGGGGGGGGGAGATTTTCACTATAGGGCACGTGCACTCGCCAGACAGACAGAGAGAGACATAGAGACAGAAAGCGAGAAATCACCCCCAAGGGGGGATGGTCATGCCGCAATCCCCTCTCCTCCATTCTCCTCTCGGGATCTTGGGCACGCACGCACACACACCCGGCCGGCGTGTGTTTTAAGCCACCGGGTCCGGGACGTGAACCACGGTCGACTACGTGGGAGTCTAGCGACATAGCCATTACGCTAACTGCTGGTTCCCTGCCACAATCCCTTTTTTATTCTCCTTCTGGGATCTTGGGCATGCATGCACATGTGCCCAGTATGATTTTCAAGCCACCAGATCTGAGACTCAAACCACAGTCAGCCATGTGGGAGTCCAGTGTTGTAACACTATCTGCTGGCCCCCAGCACATTTTTTTTAATTGCCAAAGAGTGCCTGTGTTTATCAGAGAGAAACAGAGACATGAGTGGTGGGTGGAAAAAGCACCCCCAATGGGGCCTGGTCATGCCACAGTCCCTTCTCTATTTCTCCATGCTGTTGGGACTTGGGGTACAACACATGGCATGTTTTTCAGGTCTCTGGCTGTGACTTGACCTATGGCTGGTTGTGTGGGATCAATAGACTATGGGGCTGGCCTGTGTAAAGCAATTTTAAAGGACTTTTTGTATAAAGAAATGAAATCAATGATAACATAGCAAGTCGGGGTTTAATTTCTAAGAGTGGCAAGAAAATCCTATTATTTCATCCAAAGGTTTCCTACCTACAATTCCTACCTGAAATTCTGTTGGACTGTTGGTAAAATCAGGGTGCATTTTTTCGTTAAAAAAAATACATCATTACTTTCTTGACAACCCAATTGCATAAGAACTGTTTTGAGTTAGAGGTTGCTGGTTTTAGGCATCTTTAAATATTGCTAGTTAAGGTGTGGGGTATGTATGTGTGTGTGTTTCTCCACCAAAGTAAAATTTTAAAGTATTGTAAGTCGATATAAAAAAGAAGTCAGATAATTGCCTCAACTGCTTGGAGTGGTCTGTGGTTGTAAATGTAAAACAGTCCAGTGCCTTAGTATACCAGTTAAGCATTGACATTGAATGTAGTATCTGAGGATGGGGGAGGGAGGGAGGGAATGAATGGTTCTCCTCAAGACTAAAAACAAGAGCCCTGGAAAACCCCTCTGCTCAGATATATTTATTTATCTTTGTTACAGAGATGAATAGACTCTTTTTTTTTTTTTTTTGAGAGGTTTTCACTATAGGGTGCGTGCGCTCGCCAGAAAGACAGAGAGAGACAGAGAGATAGAAAAGCGAGAAATCACCCCCTGGGGGGATGGCCACACCACAATCCCTTCTCCTCCATTCTCCTCTCAGGATCTTGGCCACACACGCACACATGCCCGGTGAGAGTTTAAGCTGCCGGGTCCGGGACTCGAACCGTGGTCGATTACATGGGAATCTAGTGACATAGCCATTATACTAACTGCTGGTTCTGAAATGAATAGACTCTTAAGTGTCCCAAAGGGTTAAAACCATGAGTCATCTTAGTGTAAATTTATTTTATTCAGACTATATTCTAATTTCTGGAAGATAGTGCCAGACAAAAATAGTATGTTTAGTAATAGAATGAGAAAATATTTGAAAGATAAAAATAATACTGAAGAGTAATGGGCCTTTGGGAGAGTATTGACTCTTGGTTAGGTTGAAAGACTGAAAATAACCAGTATAAGAAAAGGATCCCCTGGAGTCAGGATTATATGGGAAGGAAATGTGCAGGTGGTATTCCTAATTTATTAGTTGTCTAGAACTCTGATAGCAGGTGCCTTCTTTTACATGTTACTTCAAAGTGCTTTAAGTTTTTCATATCCAGTATAGTTATTTTTTAGGTTTTTGCTATAGGGTGCATGTGCTCACCAGAGAGGCGAGAGACAAAGAGATATAGAAAAAGAAGTGAGAAATCACTCCCAAGGGGAGATGGCCATGCCATAGTCCCTTCTCCTCCATATTCCTCTTTGAATCTTGGGTGCACATAAACATGTGCTGGCATGATTTTCAAGCCACTGGGTCTGAGACTTGAACCATGGTCGGCCATGTGGGAATCCAGCTGCTTTAACTATCATACCACCTATTGGCCACATAGTTTTTTTTTTTTTTTTAAATCCTTTTAGTATTTTTATTTTCAGTTTTTCAGATTCTTGTTTTGAGTGTTATATAGTTATAATAACCTAAATATATGTATTTTTGAATGCCAGAGTGTGTGTGTGTGTGTATAACAGAGAGAGCATACTCCCATGGGTCCTAGTTATGTCTCAGTACTTCCTCCATTTCTTCATCTGTCAAGACCCTAGGCATGTGTGCATGTACCTGGTGTTTTTCAAGCTGCTGGGACTGGAATTCAAACTGCAGTTAGCCATGTGGAATCTGGCTCCCTCTGTGTAGCATCTAACTGCTGCACTATGGGGCTAGCCCTGGATTTTATGATAAAACAAAAATGTGCCTTAATGTTTTTTTCCCCTTGATTTCTTTGAAGGTTTTCTTGGAACAGAAGAAAATATTAAAAAGTGGCCTTAACATAGTCCACTTTAGACAGCATGTTTCTATAATTGAAAAAGAAACACAGGAATTCTTTCAACGTTGGGGAGAATGTGGCGAAAAAAGTAAGCAAAATGTTTTACCTTTGTAAAATCTAGTATTAATAATGAATATTTCTTGGCACCAGCAGTTAGCGTAATGGCTATGTCGCTGGACTCCCACGTAGTCGCCTGCGGTTCAGGTCCCAGACCCGGCGGCTTAAACTCACGCCGGGCACATGTGTGTGCGTGCCCAGGATCCTGAGAGGAAAATGGAGAAGAAGGGATTGCGGCGTGGCCATCCCCCCTGGGGGGTGATTTCTCGCTTTCTATCTCTCTGTCTCTCTCTCTCTTTCTGGAGAGCACACACGCCCTATAGCTAAAACCTCTCCAAAAAAGAAAAAAAAAAAAAGAATATTTCTACTTTCTGTGAATAGAAATGTACAGTATGTATGTGTGTATATACTGTATGAAGCAAACCGTGGTGTATGTAACTGACTTGGAATTAATGGGAGGGACATGTTATTACTATGGCTTTGTAACTGTGAATCAAGTCTTTATTTTGGACTGTGGTTAAGTGTTGCCTCAGAGCCAAAAGCCATGCCATTGACAGGAAGCAGCTTCTGCACATATGGTAGCAGGACCCAGGGCAGCATATCACCACATTCTGGGTCTAGTCTTGCTGGAGAGAGAGAGAAGAGAGTGAGAGAGGAAGTGAGGGAACGAAAGCACTCTCTCTGAGGAATCGCCATGCTGTAATCTCCTGTTGGGATTTCGGACATGCATGCACACGTGCATAGTGTTTTGTTCAAGCTGCCAGTTCTGAGACTTGAACCATTCTGTTGACCATGTGAGATCCAGCCATATATATATTTAAGAATTAACCACTTGGGGAACCAACAGTTGGCGTAATGACTATGTTGCTGGACTCCCATGTAGTCGACTGTGGTTTGAGTCCTGGATCCGGTGGCTTAAACTCACGCCGAGCACATGCGTGGGCATGCCCAAGATCCCGAGGGGAGAATGGAGAAGAAGGGATTGTGGCTTGGCCATCCCACCTGGGAGGTGATTTCTCGCTTTCTGTCTCTCTGTCTCTCTCTGTCTTTCTGGCAAGCACACATGCCCTATAGCAAAAACCTCTCGAAAAAGAAGAGAAAAAAAAAAGAATTAACCACTTGGGGCCGGCACATGGCATAACAGTTACATTCCTGAACTCCCATAGCTGACTGGTTTAATACCCAAACCTAGTGGCTTGAAAATCACACCTGGAGTGAGTGCATGCATGCCCAGATCCCAGGAGGAGAATGGAGGGGAAGGGATTGCACTGTGGCCATCCCTCTGAGGGGTGATTTATCACTTTCTCACTGTCTCTGTCTTTTTCTCTCTCTCTGGCAAGCACACGCTCCCTAAGGCAAAAGCCTCTGGGGAAAAAAAAAATTAACCACCATGTCACCAGTTGACCCAAAATCAGAATATTTAAAAATACTTTTGGAAATAGTAATGAGCATGATCTTTTTTATTCTAGATTTGCTTGAAGCTCTTTCTGAGCTCATCATTTTAACAGCCAGTCATTGTTTACATGGAAAGGAAATCAGAAGTCAACTCAATGAGAAGATGGCACAGCTGTATGCGGATTTGGATGGAGGCTTTAGCCACGCAGCCTGGCTGTTGCCAGGGTGGCTGCCTTTGCCTAGTTTCAGGTATGGATAAAGAAGATAATATACTTATTTACGTTTGTAGAATTCCTGAGGTGTTGGGATGCTTTGCCTTAAAAAATTTAGTATAAAAGTTAAACAGTTAAGGGAACCAGCAGTTAGCGTAATGGCTATGTCGCTGGACTCCCACGTAGTCGACCGCGGTTCGTGTCCCGGACCCGGTGGCTTAAAACTCACGCCGGGCGCGTGTGCATGCGTGCCCAAGATCCTGAGAGGAGAATGGAGGAGAAGGGATTGCGGCGTGGCCATCCCCCCTGGGGGGTGATTTCTCGCTTTCTGTCTCTATGTCTCTCTCTGTCTGTCTGGCGAGCGCACACGCCCTACAGTGAAAAATCTCTCCAAAAAAAAAAAAAGTTAAACAGTTAAAAATAATTGAGGAGAGGAACCAGCAGTTAGCGTAATGGCTATGTTGCTGTATTCCCACATAGTCGACCGCGGTTCGCATCCTGGGCACGTGTGCATGTGTGCCCAAGATCCCAAGAGGATAATGGAGGAGAAGATTGCGGCGTGACCATCCCCCCTGGGGGGTGATTTCTGTCTCTATGTTTCTCTCTGTCTGTCTGGTGAGCGCACGCGCCGTATAGCAAAAACCTCTCAAAAAAAAAAAAAAATTGAGGAGAGAGGCTGGCAAGTGGCATGGTGGATAAAGGTGCTGGATTCCCACATGGCTGACTGTGGTTTGAGTCCCGGACCTGGTGGCCTGTTTTGTCTCTCTCTGTCTCTGATCAAATTTTAAAATAATAACAAATGAAATTAAATAAATATTAAAAAAATAATTGAGGAAAGTGTGACTCTCCATTCTTCTATAAGAATTGAACACAGGTTTTCTTTATGTAGCTCATTTAAAGTAAGTTTCAGCTTATTAAAAAGGTGATTTGTTATCTATACTCATATTTTAAAGCCTACTTATCTTACTTATTCCTCATTCGAAGGAATGTCTCAGAATGGTAACCTAAAATTGATATGACATCCTCTGAACACCTGCTTAGTCTTTTGTAGTATATTATGAAATTGTCTTTCTTTTGAATATTTGTGCATTTATGTAATTTTTAAATTGTCTTCTTATAAACCATAATGCGATTTCCTTAAAGTCAGGAACTGCTGGGACCTGCAGTTAGCGTAATGGGTATGTCGCTGAACTCCCATGTGGTCGACCACAGTTTGAGTCCCGGACCCGGTGGCTTAAAACTCATGCCAGGTCCATGTGCGTTTGTGCCCAGGATCCTGAGAGGAGAATGGAGGAGAAGGGATTGCGGCGTGGCCATCCCCCCGGGGGGTGATTTCTCGCTTTCTGTCTCTGTCTCTCTCTGTCTGTCTGGTGAGCGCACGCGCCGTATAGCAAAAACCTCTCCAGAAAAAAAAAGGACTGCTTCTGATACAAGAAATGCTGCTCTCAGGACTTGATGTATAGCTTAGTGTATTGTATATTACTAAGTGTTCTGAACCTTTGCTGATTCATTTTTATTTAGATGAGAGATGGGGAACATTTATATTGCTACTCTTTTTGCCTTCAATTTGTTTCCTTTATCTAGTTCCAGAATAAAAGAGTGGGAGTAGAAGAGAGAGTCAAGAGAGGTTCTCTAGAGTTCTTGGGAGCATATAATACCTTGTATTTGGTAGGAGCTTTACAATTTAAAAAATGCTTTCATATATATTATGTTAGAACACCTAGCACAGCCCTTGGCCTACAGCGGGTTCTCTTTAAAGGTGTATCAATCCTGTTTCCACCCACCCAGTATCTTGGATGAAGTCAGAATGCTTGGGCTTGGTATAATAGACTTTTCACACTTTAGCCCAGTCTTTCTCCGGTTTAATCTAACCAACTGATTTAAAACATTATTCCATTCACTTTTTTTTTTTTTAAAGAGTTTTTTGGAGTCCAACAGATGGCATAATGGTTATTTCACTGGACTCCCACATTGCCGACTGCAGTTCGAGTTCCAGACCTGGTGGCATGAAACTCATGCCAGGCATGTGTGCTTGTGTACCTAAGATCCTGGACACAAAGAGAAATCACTCCTGGCCCTGGGAGTGATTTCTAGCTTTCTGTCTCTCTCTCTCTCTGGCAAGTGCACGTACCCTATAGCAAAAATCTCTTTAAAAAAAAAAAAAAAAAAAAGTTTTTTTTTTGGCCTTAGGGCATGAGCACTCACCAGGGAGACAGAAAGCTGAGAGGGAAAGTGAGAAATCATCTCCCAGCAGGGGTAACCATGCTGGAGTTCCTTCTCCATTTTCCTCCTGGGATCTTGGGCATGAGCACACATGTGCCTGGCATGATTTTCAAGTCACCAGGTCTGGGACTCAACAGTTGGCCATGTGGAAGTCCAGCAATGTAACCACTATGCCATCTGCTGGTCTCTCTATTCACTTTTTTTAAAGGATTTTTTCCATAGGATGTGTCTGCTCGCTGGAGAGAGACAGTGAGAGTGAAACCGAAAAATCACCCCTGATGGGGATGGCCATGCCGCAATGCTTTCTCCTCCATTCTCCTCCTGGTATTTTGGGCATGTGTGTGCATGCATCCACCATGATTTTCAAGCCACTGAGTCTGGACTTGAACTGTGGTCTGTCTTGTGAGAGTCCAGCGCCTTAACCACTATGCCACCTTTTGGCCCTTCATTCACTTTCTTAAACAAGTCTTACATTTTCCTGGCACTGCTGTGTTCATGTAGTTAAGCTTCAACATCATCTTCCCTCTGTACATATTATATCAGTTGATCTTCAATAATAATCTTACAGGGAACCAGCAGTTAGCATAATGGCTATGTCGCTGAACTCCCACGTAATCGACCGTGGTTCATGTCCCAGACCCGGTGGCTTAAAATCCACGCCAGGCGTGTGTGCGTGCATGCCCAAGATCCCGAGAGGAGAATGGAGGAGAAGGGATTGCGGTGTGGCCATCCCCTGTGGGGGGTGATTTCTCGCTTTCTGTCTCTCTGTCTCTCTCTCTGTCTGGTGAGCGCATGCGTACTATAGTGAAAAACCTCTCAAAAAAAAAATCTTACATATGAAATAGGGCAAGAGTTTTTATTAGAAGGCTTGATTTAGGAGGGTGCTTGATTTAAGAGGGCACTAGTTTTTTTTTTTTTTTGGAGAGGTTTTTGATACATGGTGTGCGCTTGCCAGAGAGACAGAGAGAGACAGAGAGACAGAAAGCAAGAAATCACCCCCTGGGGGGATGGCCAT